TCTCCGGGTACTCCAGTTTCCTTCCACAGACCAAAAACATGCATGTTGGGCTGATTGGTCATTCTAAATTGTCCCTAGGTGTGAGTGAGAGAGTAAATGGTTGTTTGTCTCGTTTGTCTCTATGTGTCCCTGTGATGGACTGGAGACCCGTCCAGGGTGTCCCTCGCCCCTCGCACAATGATTGCTGGACATGGGCACCAGTGACCCCCATGACCCAAAATGGAAGAAGTGGGTAAAAGCTAATGGATGAATGGATTAAGCTTAACTTTTACTGTCAGTTAGGGAGCAACCCTAATGAATTCATAACAAAGAGCCATTAATGTAGAAGTCTGTGAAAGAAGAGGTTTGGCCAAGTAAAGTAAAAATAGCATTAATGCAAAGTTGTTTTAAATTGATTATATAATGATTTCAAGAGAACTTCTGAAGCAGGGCTATAATTGTGTGCTGCGCATAAACAAGTTTGCAACGTGGCTTGAAGGGAATTTACATAAAACCTGATTGGAGCTGTTTTGTTCCAACAAGTTATTTCCAGCTGAGTTATGGAAATGTGTAGGAGTCTTTTGACTCAATTATTCAATGGAATTTTTAAGAGTGAGAACATTTTCTAAGAATGGAGGAGAAGTGTGCTGGTGCCCATTTTTAAGAACAAGAGGGGGAGAGTTGGGGAAGACTTAGATGATTATTTGTGAGCAGCAGTATTTCATGCCAAGAAAGAGCACCGCGGATGCCATCTTTATTTTGAGGATGCTGATGAAGTACAGAGAGGGTCAGAAAGAACTCCATTGTGTCTTTGTGGATTTAGAAAAAGCATATGACAGGGTGCTGAGGGAGGAGGTGTGGTATTACATGAGGAAATCTGGAGTGGGAGAGAAGTATTGTATTTTTCGCTGTATAATCGCATGTTTTGCATAAATTAGTATGCCTGCAACTTATGCAACAAAGCAACGTATTTATGTTCCCCCGCCCCATATTTATAACCCAATTTGTGGCTGAGATCTGACGATTTCATTCATTCTGACATGTAAAATATTGAACACTTCCATTTTCAGCCACTAGAGGGCCCACGACCTCTATGGCAAGCCAAATGTTTCATTAATATGTACAAGTGGCTATTAATGAGACACTTGGCTTGCCATACAGAGCCACTTTTGTCTGGCTTTGGAACTCCTGGAGCAAACATCAGATCAGCTGCATTTCACTGCGCCGCCCAGGTGAAATGCAGCTGATCTGACCATCAAAGTGCATTTATTAAGGAAAAATTCAAGTGAGACACACCTTTGCTATAATTTCGAGCAAACAAATAATTGTTTTTAAGTGTTAATCTTGTTAAATTCTTGTTAAAGTCCTTCCGTGCACGCTCCCGCGACTGCCATTTGGTAGCCTTTTGATTTTTGGCACAACACCTGCCCATATTTCCAGGTTGTCAGCGGTGATGCATAATAGATGTGACTTATATGGCAAATTGACATATTTATGGGGTTTTTTTCCACTTTATTAGACATATTTGCACTGATGTGACTCATACAGCAGTGCGATGTGTACGGCGACAAGTACGGTATGTTAGACTGCAGGACATGTGTACATGTAAAATGAAAATGCCTGATTCACAGACCAACTTGAAGGTTTTTTCCCACTTGATGGCGCTAATCTCATGCCTTCACTCCTCCTGTGGAGAGGTTTTGAACATCAGTGGGCCTCGACAGGTTTGGCCTTGTCCAGACAAGTCAGGTTTATCATTTTAAGACCAGTTGGAAATAAGAAACCAGGAGAGCTTCAGTGGAGATGTAAAGAAACAGATTATTTGACTGGAGAGCATCAAACACTGCTGAGTCTGCAGCATGGAGACAAATTAACAAGAAAAATCATTATAAATCTAACTAATAAGGCCGGTTCTGGTTCAGACCTGGGAAATCAACCTAAACTAGTTTAATAAATCTAATATGCATTTTGTTATTAATAATTTATTTGAACACAGAATTCCAGGGTGTATTTTTTTTTATTTTTATTAAGAAAAGTAGTTTTATTCAAATGGTGTCCAGCACAGAAAACAAGTCAAAACCTTACTCAGGGTTAATGCTTTATATAATTATAGCTTCTCATTTGATCTTTTTTTTTTCTTCATGAAAATAAACATTTTAAATTTTGTTCAAGCTATAAAAGGTTTATGGAAATTGTATTTGTGTTGCTTTGCAACCTGCAACAGTCTCTTTATGTGGCTTAATGAGACGTTTATTTTAATATAATAACAATAAAACATGAAGGAAAGTCCAGCTTCCAACAAGTTCTTGACAGATTAAAAACAGACGTTTTATTTCATGTCTGCGCTGCAGCCGAAGTTTTGTTGTTGGAGTAAACAAGCAAACAGCTGATTGTCCATGATGCGTTCACGTTTCACCTTTAAAACGGACGTTTTTGCATCAATTTGATGCGTTTAATGTAAGAATTTTTTTTTTTCTGATAAAATGATATAGTCTTTAAAGCATCAGAATGTGTTGTTTCCTACAGTTTTATTAAAAACAGAGGATGTTTCTGGAGTTGGGGGGAACCTTTTGTTTTTTAAAAAGGGAGGATTTAAAAAAAAAAAAAAGCCTCATTTTACATGCAAACAGGCGCAATTAGAGGACAGGGGACACTAATAAAGGTCCCCCAGCAATTCACACATATTTATTTCTGCATTTTAGCAGCTTCAAGCCAGGGAGTGAAATCCGGACAGGTTGTTATAGCTACGCAACCCACGGGGGTTCCGACATTTAAAATCCCCTGGACCCTCCCTCGCTCCTTTAAAAAACATTATATATATCACGCGCGCGCGCCCGCACACGCACACACTTGCATGCAAATGCGAGCAAATGTGAATGAAAGCCATCTGAAAATGATCTGTGGGCTCGAGCTGACTGACAGCAGAAGGAGCAGAGAGGTTCCCCCCTTTGGCAATACCTGCTGATTGGGTCTTAAAGAGGGGGAGAAAAGGCAAGCTGCTTTTGACTTTTTAATATTTGGCTCCTGAGTTCTTCCACGACAACTGGAGACAGATAGGTCTAGTCTTTCCGGCTGAGATAGAGACAAACATCCTGCATCTTATAAAGCCTTTTTGTGTGTTTTTTTGGCGCTGATGAGCGCGCATGTTTGCGTCCTGCTGCAGAGGTGCTGCGAAACTTTCAGGATGATGCACCTTGGATGTTTCCTGCTGCTCTGTGGGCTCACGCACGTCATGGCAAGTTATCCCATCTGGTGGTAAGTTTTTTATTTCCATTTCGGACAACCTGATTAAATGTTGGCGCAGTTAAGTGCGCTTCTTCTCGTTCCAAGTTGGTTTATGGCACCCCTGCTCTTTAAAGAAAAAGAAAAAAAAAATATTCAGCTTCTTTAACACAAGAAGAGCTGTTTTGTTATTAATGTGATTATTCCTATCTGATGATATGAAACAGAGCAGGAAAACTGCGCAGAAAGCGGCGCAAAATGACCAAAATGCGCTTTATTTTAGTTTGGATTCCTACTTTTGAACGTTGGGGACATTTACAGCGACCTCATTTTAACTAGAAATCGTTTTCAGAGAACAGCAGGTGCAGACTGTGTTTATGTGAGCACGCACGTGTCCACGCGTGGGTCACTGTGCGTGTTTTGATGGGGGGGGGGCGCGTCAATATGGCACCGAGAAGCCTGCAGGTTCTGTGGTGATCAGTCCACTTCGTTTTGATTTAATTTCAAGATTTGACAAAAAAAAAAAAAAAAAAAAAAAACAGGATCGGCTTATTTTAATTTTAACATCTCAGAAAGTTGCTTTTGTATTCATTAATTTACAGAAATAGAAAAAAATACAAGTGAATTTGATGTAATTTGTGGCCAATTTCAAGTTTAGTCATTCAAACATTCATAAATGAGCAAACTTGTGTGGAATAAATGCTCATTTAAGTTGTTACCAAAAGGAGTTTGCTGCTGCTTCTTGTGCACTGATGAAAATAAATGAAAAATAGTGTGAGTCTAATAATAAGCACAAAATAACACACATTTTCCACACTTTCCATTTTATTTAACTGAGCTCTAGCTCAAATCATATCAACCCTGTCAGCTTTCAGTAAAATAACAACAGATGTCCACTTTCTAAAGAATAATTCAATATTTGGCAACGATTTAAAATTAGGTGGATCTCAATCTACTTCCTTTAAAAGGTCCCCTGGTGGCAGACTGATGAGAAACTAATTACATGCTCAGCTGGAAGGAAATCCTGATAAAACAGTGAGACCACTGGGCCGAGAGGTGGAAAATAAAATAACCAAATCATCACTTATTATTTTCCAACATTCGGTATGTGAATCCTTAAAACTAAGAAAACCCCCTGCATTTATAAGTGCTTCTTCCTATTGTATGGAGCCAAGCGGCAGGTTTGGTGAAACAGCATGCAGAACATCAGCCTGCGAGGGTTTGTGCAGTTTGATTGTGGACTGTGCATGTACAGGAGCAGGAGGGTGTCATGTTGGCCGTCTCATTCTCATCCAATACAAACAACCTGCGACTGCAGAAGTAGCACAGTCACTCACTTTTCAGCCCCTCACGTAACGCTGATCCTTCTATTTGTTTAAAGACCGCTGATGAATATTTGTGTTTCGTGGCAACTCATCCCAACTCAAATAACACGGTTCCTTCTGGATTACGCTCAATGTGCCTGCATTGTCTCTCAGTTTGCAAACAGCATGCACACAGATATATCTGAATGCTGCTGTGAAAAGCAGCCTGGGATGTTTTGCTGACAGAACGCTGCTGCACCTTCTTTCAAGAGGCCACCAGACGAGCGTGGCTCCCTCCGTGCCCTCGGTAGTCTTTGGGGATACAGATCTGCACCGAGGACGGGTTCACGTCTGTCTTTTCTCGACCTGCCATGACACAGTCTGGCTGCACCCGCCACCCCGCCAGCTCCTTACCTAGTCCACCCCACCTTAGAAGATAAATACCTGGAGGTGAAAGCTTGCCGCACATTCCTTTTCCCAAACATGCTCTCTTGATGTCAAAGTCAGCTCCAAGGCCTCAGGGCCCACGAGTAAAGTGCTAATTCTAAGGCACCCTGCTTGGACTTGCTGAAATATGCATTAAACATGCACCAGTTACACTCAGATTAGAGGGGAGGGGGTGTATGGAGACAAAACAACTTTGTCATATATGTGTTTTCTCTTCGTCAAACAATTTTCAGAACATTCACCTTATTTTATTCCACAGAAAAGTCAAGTTCTCTGTTGGACGGCTGCTCTCGCAAGATGAATGGATTTTTCCAGAGGAATTAGGGAGATTAAAGTCAAGGCCACACAATAAATACCGAAAATCCACACAACACATAAAATACCAGTAGTTAGCTTTAAATGGTTGTTGGAGCTGGTATCCAACAACACCGTTCTTTATGCAACAACTTGCTAATCATCCCTGGTGAAACATGCCCCTCCGCCTCTCATGAGCCATGTCCTGACACAGGACGAGTAAACAAGTGTCAAAAGGAACAAGATGAATTCATTTAAATGTCGTTTTATTTTTAGGTAAAACCAGATCGGCTGACAGGAAATGTAAAACCTGAGCAAGAAGTCAACAAAAAGTAATAAAAAATGACGAGATGTAACATTTAAAGAGAACTGAAATACATTGTTTATTTCAAATTCAAGTCAAAGCAAAGTCTTCAGTGTCAAGCCATTTGTCCAACAAGATAGTATGATCTGTGAGGTTTAGATGAAAACGTTGCCTGTAGGCATTTGTCAGGAATCTGGTAATCTGGTGATTAGTTACTAGTTCTTAAACAACACAGAGAAGGTCAGCAGAAAGTGAGCTAAATGATCTTCAGAACACTAATCCACCTGCTGTGGAGCTGTTATCGTACCCGCATCACTCAGAGGATGACCAGTCGCCGCGCCAGTGTCCATGTTTTCATAAGACATCGACTTGAATGAAGACTGGTTTGGGCGGCTGAGAAGCGTCTGGGCAGTGAATCTGTCAGTAACAACAGAAATTCTGTTTTTAAACTATTTTGCTTATGAATATAAGAGTCAAAACACTGATTTTGGTAACTTATCTATAAAGGAAAACGCTTCTTGTGAGCGATGTGCCTGGAAGATAAGAAAAATGTAAATTCACTTAAGGTGGAAAAAATGTCTCCTGAAGAAAAAATGCAAAGCTGTTTTCTTTTTATCACACAAAATGTTCAAGCACTAAATGTGAAGATTTTCGGACAAATGATGACGATGAGATCAGGGCTGTCTCAAAATCGTTTGTTTTGCTGTTTGGTGTGTGTGTCGCGCTGCAGAGTGAGTTAGGACGGACGCAAAAGTGCCTAAAATTTTCAATTCAGTTTATTTATATAGCACCAAGTCAAAACAGAAGTCGTCTTAGGGCACTGAACAGAAACATTCATACATAAAAATAATAATTTAACATTATTTTTTGAGGAGGAGACTGCATTGAGTTTAACTCCATCACAGAACTCTCATCTTGAGCAAGCATGAAGGCGACAGTGGAAAGGAAAAACTCCCTCATGAGGAAGAAACCTTTAGCAGAACCAGGCTCAGGACAAGCGGCCACCTGCTTTGACCAGCTGGGTTTGAGAGGAACAGGAAGGAGGAACGGATACACAATGGCAGGTCGAGAATCACAAGTTTAGATAGAAATCATATCAAATGACAACTCTTCAATTTTAAAATGTCAACCTCACGGACAGAAACTGGAAGTGTGTTCCACAAGAGAGGAGCCTGATAACTGAAAGATCTTCCTCCCATTCTGCTGTTGGAAACTCTAGGAACCACAAGTAAGCCTGCAGTCTGAGAGCAAAGTGCTCTGTTAGGAAAATATGGAACAATAAGATCTCTAATATAAGATGGAGCTAGGTTGTTGAGTGCTTTGTAGCTTAGAAGTATGTTGAATAATAATAATAATAGGTGATAGGTAATAATGGGTGCCTTCCATCCATTGCATGGAGGATGCATGCATGCTTTGCAAGGCAATGCACTGCCTTCCTTGCATGTTGAACCAAAATGTTTCCCAAAGTTACTCAGTTTCTGTGAAGAGTTTTCTCCTATTCATTTCCTATGAGAAATTTGACATCGTTGTTGGCAAAATATGTCGCCACGGTAATTGCAAATGCCAATAAAAGTAATTGCACACTTCCCAGAGCCGGGCCGGTTGTTTTGATAGAACTTTTGTGGTGGTCCACATTGCGGTTCGGGCCGCATTGAAATTGAAAAAGATATGCTTTTCAGGTGTTGAATAATAAGTGGGTAGTCACCAACTAGTTCCTGGAGTTGGTGAAATATTGCGTCTTTGTTTGCAAATTATGTCCCATGGTAACTCGAAATGCCAATAAAAGTAATAGCACACATCACAGGGCCGAGCCAGTCGTTTTGATATAACTTTTGTGGGGGTAGACATTGTGTTTTGGGCCGCATTAACGGAGATAGAACTGTAGACACACTTCCGAGGTGCAAATGCATGGCAGGCACCTATTCAATTCTGGACTTGACAGGGAGCCAATGGAGAGAAGCTAAAACTTGAGAGATATGATCTCTCCTACTAACTCCAGTTGACTCTGGCAGCAGCGTTTTCAGTCAGAGCTATATTTTTTGCATGAATCAGGACATTGTTTTACGATGTGGAAGCCATCCCCAACAAATAAATGTTTATTTACGTGGGCTCTGTTTGTCGTCAACTGATGGACTATATTTTAATAATTGCCGTGTACAGAAAATTCTAATAGAGTGGACACAGAAAATAAAGACAGAGAGAATAATGAAGGCACAAAGACAGACAGAAATAATCAGTGAACCAAGTTTGCACTTGTTTCTTAGAACACCTTCCTCAAAGAGAGAGACAAATCAAGACGAGTGGGAGGGGACTGTGTTAACCTTAATACACTCTCTGAAGTTTCATTGTAGGGTTTGCACTCTTATTACCTCTAAGCTGACGGCCCTGTTAAGTGTGCGGACAGTTAATAACAAGGTGTAGTTTTCCAAGTTGTCAGCTTAAGGTCTATGAAGACCTCGAGATGCATTGTGGACTTTCATCTTAAGCAGAAACAGTGCGGTGGCAGGGCTGCAATTTCAATACGCACAAAGGCCAGGTGTCTTCAGAGAGGGTGGCTGAAGGGATGAAGGATGTGCACCTAATGGTAGTATCTGATACAATAAATAAATAAACACACACAATCAGATAAAGTCAGACATAATATTAAACTGCACCGAAGAAACTTAACCTCCCATTGAGATGTGTAATATCAAAAGATAAAGGCACAGACAGATGAGAGGAGGACATATAGTTATTTAACAATCCCTCTGACATTTCGACTTCCTCTCTACCCTTAGGTCACTAGCAGTGGGCCACCAGTACTCATCAATGGGTACTCAGCCTATCCTTTGTGGCAGCATACCGGGTCTGGTACCCAAGCAGCTCCGTTTCTGCCGAAACTACGTGGAGATCATGCCCAGTGTGGCTGAGGGGGTGAAGATCGGCATCCAGGAGTGCCAGCACCAGTTCAGGGGTCGACGCTGGAACTGCACCACAATAAATGACAATTTGGCCATCTTTGGGCCAGTGTTAGATAAAGGTAATGATACACACTATTACGTTCAGTGCAGTTTTTGCACATAAGTTACCAAAAATACCTAAAGCTTTTAGGCGTGTGATCTCAAACCCTTTTGGTATCGTGACTGATTTGTTAAGCTCAACTCAAAGTTGCAATCTATATTCTCTTTTCCCCCAAACAGTTTGTAAAATTCAAAGGCAAAACAAGTACCGTAACTACTCAAGGAGGCATTTGTAACTGTAATATTTATCTGGTAAATATGTCCTAGTACAGGACTATTCAACTGATGGCCCGTGGGCCAAATCAGGCCCGCAGGTGAGCTCAGTTCAGCCCACCAATGGGTTCATTTTTAAATAAAACTAGATTTTAAACCGTAAAAAAAATACATAGTTAATGAGAATAACTGCTGGATGTCCAGCCCCTGAGCTCATGGCTTTTAGTAGCCCCTTGAGCAATTTAATTGAATAATCCTGTCCTAATAAGTCTATTCAGTGAATCATTTTTTTACTTATTTGCCCAGAATTGTCATAATATTGAAACATTTGTCTTTTTGTGGACTTTTTTCTCTCCTTTGATTAAGTTTTTACACGTGTACAACACTGAGAGAAAAAATAAAAACTCAAGCATTATTTAGTACCTTTGACAAGCAAAGTTTAAGTTGGGTTTTCATAAACAGAAGTAGTCGAACAAAAAGTAAAAAGATTAAAGAAAGCAGCGAACAGGCAACGCAACTTCATCTTCAACTAATCGTTTTTCGTGTGCGATCACGTATAAGATTGCACAGAAGCTTTGACGACGGCGTTTAACCCCTGTACCCTCAAATTAGTGTCTGAGTGTGTTATACACTGCAAAAATGTTCTTACACGTCTTTGGTTTTCAAATCACGGACAAAAAAAAAGAAGAGAAAAAGAAAGGAGGGGAAAAAAGGTGACTTATGGCGTCTCTCAGCCGATTAACTCTCTCATTAACTATTCTGCATTCGCTTTGTCTTATATTTGCAGTAGAAAAGCTGCATTCCCTGCGTGCATCATTCATTATGCTGATTCAAATCCTTGTTTAAATAGACTTGAGGCTGAATAAGCTCTGAGAGGCCTTGAAATAATGTACACAGTTAGCCCAAGTCTAGGGAGAAGTGAGTTTTTGTTTTTCTTTAGGAGGGGATCCCCAGAGGTTGTATTTTCCTGAAAACTACACAACACAAGATAACTGAGTGAAGCACACAGTGGAGGTCTTCCAAGAAGACATTATGCAGTCGGGTTTTGCCTTCCGATCACGTTGACTTTCCTGCGTCTAATTATGAGTCACGGCTTTAGGAAAATCCACAATCCAAGATATAATTTGATGAAATAAGCCCCAAAACTCTAAAGAACAAAAGGCTTGATGTTGTCGTCATTACCAGCCGCCACCTTCCATGCCAGATATTTAACGAAATCTTGAGTGATCTGATCTCAAAGTGTTGGATGTGGATAACTCTCAGGTACTGCCACACTAAATTAAGCTCAATATCTGTCAAACTGACTGAGTTATACAACTTTTGTGTTTGCTTAGGTTGACTAGCTGTGACGGCTATCTTGAAATAAATTGACTCCGAAAGTTAAAATCGGTTAAAGGTGAACATCTATTGATTACTAGTTTTGTTTGTGTCTTCTTGTTCAGGCTTTTAGCAACCAAATTACTTTTTTTTTTTACATCCAGTGTAACCCCATTTTGAAAATAATGCACTTTTTTTTTTAAGCCACATTTTAAAAATCACTTTTTTGTCATATTTAGACGCAGCAAGACCGAGTCTATTACCTGTTTAGTGTTTGCACTAAGCTAACCATCCTAATATTGAACATTTTAACTGCTTTAATCTTTCGTAACAGAAGTAATTTATTTGTTTTATGGTTTCCTCTTCTGTATTTCTGCTTTCTGAAGTGAGCTTTAAAGTTGGTACTGAGTGTTGCACAGTAGCTTATATTCGTAGGTTAAAGATCTAAACCTCTTTTTCTGAAGAGTGATGCAAATGAGGGGGCTTAGAGGTCACTTAGGCCAATTGCTTTTAATAAACTCTTGAGCCGATTGATAGAAGAGACTTGAACTGAAGTAGGTGGCTAACGACAGGGGTCCTCAGTCCCAGCCCCATTGTGCTGTGAAATGCCACCACATAATTTCCCATTGCTTCCCCTCCCAGTCCTAAATTACAGGGGTACTAACTGGAAAGAGAGAAGGCAGCTACTGGGCTTCAGTAAATCATTTTGATTGGATTAAGGTCACTCTGGCCCTTAATAATGTGAGAGGTCAAAGTGGCTGGATTAAGTGTCTTTGTCAGAGGCCATGGAGGGTGGTTCAGGACCTCACAGGCCTTTGATAAGGATTATTAGAAGAGGGCTTCCATTTTATTGGATTTGATTGATGCTGGTGTTTGTCACCATTGTCCCCATTTCTGTCTGTTTGTCTTTTATTCAGATTGTTTCCCCTTGCCTTTTTGTTGGCTAGTGGTTAAAAAAAAAGGACATTTTTAGGTCACTCAAAGTTAGATCACTGCCAGCTCATCTCTGTGAAGAACATTAAATGATTCTTCTTATGGAAATCAACTTTAGTTAGCAACGCAAGCTCGTGCTCAATGTGACCACACGCAAACAGTCGTGACGAGCAAAAGCACCTCCTGCTCTTAAAACGGACTTGTTCATGCTTCCCTACCCCTGCAGATGTGCTCTAAACCTCAAAGTTTCTATCACTCGCCACACCCTAAATCACGAGCCCTGCCTGCAGGCTATGTCTGCGTCAGCACTCATTAATTTACATTAACTAAAGTGTCAAAACATGCACCGCTGGAATCTGCCCGTGATGAAAGGCAACAGAAAGCTGCGCAGGTGTCCACACAGCCGATACCAGGGCTGTTTCAACTTTCTGGTTATTCACAGAACACCCACCATACGGGCTTATTTGCACTCCGGTTTTTAGTCATTGCAGCTTTGCAACAATAATGCTAACGGAGCTACTGTTTTTTGTTCTGTATATGCACAACCATATTGAAATGACTCAACTAAAATAAGATTGTCTCATTGTGTAACTCACATGGAGCCATGCTGTGCTAGCTCCTCCATTTCCTGTCGGTAGCAGCTTCACAGGAAACAAAACCTAAATCAACAAATTCCACCAAAGCCAACCAGGAAGACATCAGGAGATGTGGGTTACGACCTATGACCGCAGGATGAGAAAGTGTAACTACTTAGGATGAGCTAAAAGGTCTCAGCTTTTCATGGGACGTATGTCTCATCATGCTGGGGGAGGGAAACTGGCGCATCAGTATATCATTAACTCTGGGCAAGAAAGAAAGAAGGGGTGTAGTAAATGGAGTTGATGGGGGGACCTTAGCCCCATTCCCCGCTGGGCGCTGCTCCGAGCACAATATCTCCTCAACCACGAGATTAAGCAGGAGAAAAAGTGCTTTTCCCCATTCACACGCCCTTTAGATTGTTTTATTAAAGCATGTGAATAGGATTTCCCTGTCTGCGACAAGCGGGGTCCAGCCAATGCATAGTTCTCTGTTGCTATGACTTAACTTGGTCCCCACTAATCACTAGCCGGGGCAAATTTCATATAAAATATCTGGGTCTATTGTGGGACTAACACAGCGTGACTGTGACAGCACAATGGGGGATTCAACCCCCCAGCAGGTTGCAGGGACCACTTGGCCTGCCGGGATCTGGCAAAGCATTGTCCCATGAGAAGTGTCTCTAAATTGGTCGTAAAACAAAAAAAAAAAGTTGTTGAACTTATGTGAAAGGTGAGACCTCCAGGTAAAGTGAACACTAATATACTGTATATGCGTGTACAATATGTTAATACAAATGACACCTAATTTAAAAAGTAAACAGATGTTGACAATTTTGTGATTTTCATTCAATGATTTTTTTTTTGTTTGTTTTTGCTGTAAATTCCTCTCTTAAACATGATTTGGCCTTATTTACTATATAATGTCAGGCTATTTATACATCATGCGACTCATGTACCATTACGTATATTTGATGTAAGTAATTTGGACAGAGTTAAATGTGTGTGGGGGGGAAGAGTTCATGAACTCAAAGCTGTGTGCTGGAGCAAAAGGTGATATATCTGCGCTGTCAATAAGAGTTGCTCTTGTGTAACAGCATCAGCATCAACAGTATCAGCGATAATCTTTGCATTAAATGTACAAAGATTAAGTTGTCTCTTTTTTAAACAGACCTTATTTTTTATTTTTAAAAAATCGAGAATCTTTCTAAAAAATTTAAAAAAAAATCACAAAATCTTTGACTTTGAAAATCTCCTTACAAGATCTTTTTTTATTTGACCCTCTGTCGTTTTCCATCAACGCTCTTCTAATACAGCTTTTTAAACTATAGTCACAAAACAACACTTGTAGATCACAGATTGAAAATGAAGAATCTTAGTTTGAGTCAGTTTAAGGTGTTGCATTCTGGGTTTTCTTGTGTTATGTATATGCATTTTTTTTGTTTTGTTTTGTTATTAAAGTTCTTTTGCAGGAAAAAAATTAACGTTTTCTAATGAGATGAACTTCGTCCATTGCAGATTGTGGCCATCAAAGAGCGAGAGCAGATGTTTAGATTTGTTATGAATGTTACTAATTGCTTCCATGCAGTAGGAGTGGGCGGGTGGTGGAGGATACCATTAGACCTTTTTCACTTGCATCAGTTTTTTAATGCGCTTTAGTCCTCAAACTGGTTGGAACCTGCTGTCAGGGAGGAGCTCCTGCTCCCTTCAGGTTTATACACCTACCTTCTTTTCCTTTTTGTTCTTTAGGCACTGCTTCTCTCACACACTCCTACGCATGTGCACACACAGTCCTGATCTTCTCTGTATATCTCTCCATTCAATGTATTTTTTTTTGTTTGTTTTGAACTTGCACATAATGTGTTTTGCTGCCTTCTGTTTGTCTTTTCCTGTGGTTGTGCAAGAACACTTGATCACATTCAGTCATGATGCAAAAGAATCCCGTTAAAGCAGCTGACAACAAACAAGAAAAATCTTGCTTTTCAAATGTGCATACACGCCTTCTTTCAGACAAACTGTATCTGGTCACTAATGATGTAGCTGCATATGCACTGTCCCCTCGGCGTGAGGCTGTTTCCTAACCTTTCAAAAGCTTAATTGAGTCTCGTAAGTATAGGTCTGTCAGGCCCGTCTTTTCCTCTCATCTCTGTGGAAGATCCTGATCCCTCTGACTCATCACTTAGCTATGTCAAACAGAGACACACAGACCTTGCTGGTCTTATTTAGAGACAGGACCATTGATGTCTGGGTTAAATGAACCTACGTATCAAGACACATTGGCATACTGTACACATAATAAACTCGAACCCAACAATATGTGACGCTGAACCAGTAAAGTCAGCTAATGTAATGACATTAAAAACAACAAAAGATAAGACTACCTTAAGATAGTGACCTATAACCAACTGGAGTTTTTCAGTGGTTCATGTCAATGCCAGTCTTGAGAGATCAGGGCAGCTGATGGTTGATTTATGGAGCTGCTTTGTTTGTTTTAGACGCAGTAATACAACAGTTTAACATAAACAATTAAGGTGTTCAAACAAAAAGGACTTTTTTTCAAAATGATTCAGATTTTGATATGGAGACAAAGACACATCCTTCTGTACATTTTCAACATGGGCCATGTCCCACAGCCATGTATGCTTGCACAAAAGAAGCCAGCATTGTGAACATGAACTCCATTAGAATGAAGCACCGCTTGTTCAATCTCCCACTTTACCTATAGCCAACTTAATCCTGTGACTACCTACCTTTCTGGCTCAGAGGCCTAACAAAGGCAGGTTGACTTCAACCCTCTGAGCTACCTTGGTCATCACATAAATCATGCAAGATACTTCAGTTCCAGCTTGAAAATGTTTTGTGAAAGGGTCTAAGGATCGCTGGAGATGTAACACTGATGTTTTTGATGTACATCAGGAAACATTCTTAATTGTGCCACAGTTTATTGAGGTCTATTTCTTGCTCCTTTTATAAATCACTTCAAGACAGGCTTGAGATGCATCATCACTGTCTCAATGTGATTTCTGAATGAATCAAGGCAGCATGAAGACTTGAAGTCAACTTGCTCCTGTTATGTCTCTGAGCCGTCAAGAAAGGTAATGATAGAGCTGCGATGCTTAAGCCAGCATTACTGATTAAATGAGAGATGTGCCAATGATGCCATGGGAAAGGGAGAGGTCCAAACATTTTTTGTGTGTGTGTGTGTAGCGCTTCATATCAACAAAACTTCACTGGTTTTGCAATGCTGGCTTCATTCTCAACCAGTTTTATTGGTTATTTTTGTAATGGCCAGAGGCTGCAATAAGATTGCCTCATTTACGTGGCTATATTATTGAGCTGTTTTGTGAAAGAGGCATACGACTACAAAAGTAAAATTCTAAAAGTGAGAATCTCCTATTAAATAATGAAATGCATAAGATTCTGGAAAATAAACATTAAGTTTTACAGTTATGCTTAGATTTAAAAAAAAAGAAGTATTATGACATTCTGGGGTTCTGATGTACTAAAAAACGTCTTCGGCTTTGAAAGGTACATGTGGACCAAAGGAAAACACACTGATAAAAACTGTGTTTTATCAAGTGCTTCAACAGTTAAATTTCCAAAAATGTCCTCTTATTTTAATTACTATATTCAGAAGTTAGCAGTGCTGATTGTTTCAAAAATTGGCCTAATTCGTTAACCAACCATTCACTTGGTCTCCCTATTAACTGCAGTGTTTTCCTGCTGAATGTCTTTTTTGAATCATAAACAAATCACTGTGATTCTCTTTCCAGCCACTCGAGAGTCAGCTTTTGTTCACGCTATTGCCTCAGCGGGAGTCGCCTTTGCGGTGACCCGTGCTTGTGCTGACGGTTCAGCCACCATCTGTGGATGTGACACACGGCATAAGGGCCCCCCTGGTGAGGGCTGGAAGTGGGGTGGCTGCAGCGAGGATGTCGAATTTGGAAGCATGGTGTCCCGGGAGTTTGCAGATGCGAGAGAGAATCGGCCAGATGCACGCTCGGCAATGAACCGCCACAACAACGAGGCAGGAAGAATGGTCAGTCTTGAGAGTAATTTGATTACTTGTTTGGCCACGGTAATACTACTCTCAAATATTTTAGTAACACTTCCTTTTCTACACCAACAGTCTCTCAACGACAACATGTTTCTGAAGTGCAAGTGCCACGGGCTCTCGGGGAGCTGCGAAGTCAAGACATGCTGGTGGTCTCAGCCTGACTTTCGAGCTATCGGTGACTACATGAAGGATAAGTATGACAGCGCTTCGGAAATGGTGGTGGAGAAACACAAGGAGTCTCGAGGCTGGGTGGAGACGTTGAGACCCAAGTACAACTACTTCAAACCCCCCACAGAGCGCGATCTGGTTTATTATGAAAGCTCGCCGAATTTTTGTGATCCCAATCCCGAGACTGGTTCCTTCGGTACTCGGGATCGCATCTGCAACCTGACGTCCCACGGCATAGACGGGTGCGACCTGCTGTGCTGTGGCCGAGGCCACAACACCCGGACTGAGAAGAGAAAGGAGAAGTGCCACTGTATTTTTCACTGGTGTTGCTACGTCCACTGTCAGGAGTGTCTGAGAGTCTACGACGTGCACACCTGCAAGTAGAGACGTGGAGGGTCTCAGCCATTCTCCTCAGAGGACATGGAAAAGCGGAACAAATAAAGTTTTTTTTAACTATGAGAGGTGTGTATGGTCAGACCTTTCCGTAAACACGCACAGCTTTGTGTTCTGGGATGCTACAAAGGGGTGACTCTGCCTAAATCAACTGAAACAGTTGTAACCGCTATCTGAAAGCATCATTCCTGAACTGTGATTGACTTTGGTGACGAGCAACAATGGGACAGAGAACGGTTGGCTAAAAAAAAAAAAAAAAAACACCATATTGGTGTTTTCTTTCTGCCGTTGGTAGTTAACGTTTTGCTGATGCGTTCAAGTCTGTGGAGCGAAGGAGAAAAATGACGTTTAACTGAAAACGAACATTTCTAATCACTGCTCGGTTTTGCCACGAAAAGATTCTGAAGCAACATACATGATCAGACATGCAACAGCATGCATTGGCCTCCTTGATGTTATTAGTATGTTTTTGCCTCTCTTGAAAACTAACATGAGCATTGTGTGATTGGGTTTTATAGTGTTATTGATCCTTGGGTAAGAATGCACTTGCACCTGAGTGAATGTAGTTTTTTTTTTTTTTTTACTGTAAAGTGTTTACATATTCTCACACGCTTAAGCTAACAAGATATCTCCTTTAAATTACTAACTTTATTCAAGAGTAGCCACAACAAAACTTTAATATGCAGGCTGTGCATTTCCCCAATCACCTGGAAATACCTAAAACCGCTTTTTGATATACAGAGCAATGACGCAACATTGAGATTTATGACCAAAGAAGTGAAAAGAGAAGTGTCTGTGAAGGTCAGCACTTCGTTTGTATCTTGATGAAAAATATGAAGCATGTTCTTCTTGTTTTAGACAGTATTATCACGAGACTTGGTGTGGGGGGAAAACCTATTTATAAAAAGGACTTTCACTCCATCTAGTTGTTAACTCTAGACACAGAGGGATACTCTGCTAAGATAAGTCAAAAATGGCAACGATGCAAGTAATACGATGTATTTAATGCAGTTCCGTTTGCAGTTGCAGTAAAATAATAACCAAAACCTGCGTATGGAATGATCGTGGGCTGTGGCTTCCTCTTTCTCCAAACTAAACAAAGAGCAGCATCACTGAAGCTATTAATACTTCCCTTATTTAAATGCTGCTAAAATATTGTGTGTTTCTGTTTAGGTCCTCACATAGAGTATATCTTTGTATATGTACATTCTTTGCATGTATTGATTCTTTCTGTGAAAGACGTAGTTTGATTTAAAAGAAAAAAGTGAAGTTTGACAAATTCTTGCATAAAGTAACTCCCATTTAACCAAATAGGGTAAAATAGAGATTTATGGTTTTTATTTTTTTCATTATTTCTTTTGTTTGTGTATGAGTGTGTTGAGACAGTAGTGCCTAGATGGACAAACCAACGCAAGACCGGGCAAATACCGGTACTAACAAATAGCAGGAGTTAGTACAACAAAGTAATAGTAAAACCATGTCAAGAATTTAGTTTTTGTTTGCTTGTGTGTGTGTGTGACATTTCACAAAAAAATGTTTTATGCGATTTAGATTATTTCAGTTTTTTTTTTTTTTATGTTTTGTCAAATTTGTTGTCTAAGTTGTGTTTTATATGAAAAAAATAATAATCGGTTTTGTTTTATTGTTGTGGTTGCTGAAAACCTTTGTGCATTTTTTAGTTTTGTTGCTCAGTTTTGTCCAATCTTGTGTTTTTGCACCTCAGGGCATCTGTAGGGCAAAGGATTATTCATGCTTTTATTTTTTTAATTTGAGAACTACTGAAAAATATTTATTTTTTGAAAGGTCTATTGACTGCAAAGGCAGAAAGATACTATTCCACTGATGGTCTCAGCTGTGTAAAGTTTCTGTTTACAGCCGGTGTAATGTATGTCTCAGGCATTTAGGTCTCAATGCCCACCTATAACAGGACTGAAATTATCAATAAACAACTCCAACCAGTTTCATTTTTAAGTCATCTTTAATGACCAGCAGCAGCAGAACCTGGATCTGTTCTAGCATCGATTTACTTTAAATGTGAGTGGACACGTGGTTCTTTTCTCATATTTTTTGCCTTTAAATCCAAAGTTTTGTACAAAGTAGCTCTCAAATTTTATGAGTTTTTAAAATTTGATGGTTTTTTTTATAATTATTTATTTCATGTAATGTAAATATTAGTGAGTAAAAATTATATATTTGCAGAAATATGTTTTTTTTTTTTAAGCAGTGTTGTGACTTGTCACTCTGTAGCCTTTTTACCTCATCTCTTTGTTATCACTGACAGATTTTGTTCATCCTACTGCCTGTAATAGATTTCTAAAAGCTAACTCTGTAACATAAAAATAAAACAAAGAAACAAAAACTATATGACTTGTGCATTTAATAAGCGGTACAAAGAATGTATAGAGTCTGACTGGTCCAGTTGAGCCAAACAGTCCCATCAAATATGCAAATTTGAAATTTGAGTTAGAAACAAAAAGGAAGAAACACCAAACGCAATGAAAACCAAATACAAAGATTAGCATGAAAACTAATAATAAAGAATAATAAGATAATATTAATGCCTTACATATTAATAAAATGTAGCAACACAGCAGTGAAAACTTTGATGAAAACTCAAACTATGGAGCAAAGTTTCTATGATTTAATATTTTGTTTTAACTCATTTCATGAGAATGTTAGGTGACAAGAAAAACAGAGGTTAATTTGGAAACTAACACAGACTTTAAAGTGATGTTTCAGACATTTTGAAGTGAGGTTCTATGGAAAAATTATGAATGAGGAGTATTTTACCTGTTGTAGATAGCTTTCGCTTTGAGCATCTTGATTAGATAGAAAGGCGATAAATAAGTACAGTCCATTTACCATTTACCATTTCTAAACAATCTCAGTTTGGAGGAAAAAGAGTTAAAGTTTGACAAGAGTTATTTGTAACCACTAATCTGAGGAGGGACAAAGGCCAAAGTGGATTTATGCCATAAAAAACATAAATCTGAACTTTTTTTTAATGCCAATTTCTCATTGCAAGGTTACTCGCATATAAATATAAGATTATATAGATGGATATATGATTATTTGAAAATAGCTACAAGCTGTCAAATATCTCAGTCTTTCTATCAAGTAATATATATTTAACAGCAAAATAAAGGTTTAAAAATTAAAAATTGCACGCATTATTGAGATAACACTGAAGTTGTTTAAGTATGCCAAATCCCACTTTCTGTTATTTACGTGTCAACATGGCCCAAACAAATCCACCTGAACTCACCAGCTGTTAGCGTCTTGGTTTTGATAAACTTAAACTCTTTTATTTTGCTCAAACTGAGACCATTCAAAGAGATTCAAGGCTATTTATCATACGCACCACATGTGGTACATGAGGTGGAACAAAATTGTGTACACAGGGTCCCAGTTACATCCAACAAAAGTATAAAATGTAAAAGAAAATCATTACTAAGATCTAAGATATGAACTAAAAAAAACATTAAATAAAAATGCGTTAAGCACTAATAGTGTAAAACAATATGCAGAGCAGCAGCACGAACATGTCTGTGTGAGCAGAGGAAATATCTACAACAGGTAAGATATTAACTGTCATATCTTTGACTCCACGTCAAAAGGTCCAAATCGTCACTTTAGGTGCTGCAAACAGTCAAATGTGTAATCAATTTGTAAATATGCACCACATTTATTAAACCCAAACATGTAATTTAACAATCTCAAGCGCATGCACAGCATCAAACCTGGAGATGCTGCAACATAGTGCAGCTTTCTGAGTCAAGGCTTGCTGCATTTCATCTAACTTTACCAAACGATGTGCCTGCACCACAAAAAGCAGCATCAGTCACAGTCACTTCGTACCATGCTTCATACATTAATGCTTTGATAAACTTGCATGTATTAAAATGTATGGATCTTTGCAAATTTCAAACCACACAAATGCACGAGGCAAGATCTAGCTGTCTACTAGGGAACAAACAATAAAACGTTCAGATCAGAATCATACACAGAAAACATGGTCTCTTGGAAGAGCTTTGTTCTTTCCAGCTCGACTTGGACGCCCCTTTGCCTCGCTACCAAATGGTATGAAGCCATGTTTGCCCAATCTAATTTGTTTTCTCCCAGACTTCAGTGATCTCAATGACACAAGGAGGAAAAGCCTTTGACACAATAGCTGTTATTTTTGACCATCAAAAAAATTTAGATTTTTTTTCAAAGAATTATCTAAACTTGCAGATATTTTTAATTTCTTTACACAAAAAGAAGAATTTCGTCACAAACTTTGTTGATGAGTGAAATGCCAGTCATGAGCTCACAAATAGCACATAAACATCCATCTATTTATCTATTTTCTTTGCGGGTCGTGAAGAGCTGGTGCCTATCTCCAGCAGTCATCACGAGGAAGCGGGGCACACCCTGAACAGGTCGCAAGCCCATCACTGAGCCACACACAAACACGAGTCATGGTGTTCTCATGGCTAAAATGATTGGAAATAAGGTTGAACTCAGTGGTGGAGTCTACATTTTTATAGTGGGTATACTGTGCTTAGAAATCAATGTACACCTGTTAGTACAATGTAATCATCAATTTATTTTGATTTTTAAGCGTATAGAACATTTCCAAATTTCTCTGATGCTCATATATTTGAATAAATGCACAACAAACTTTGTACAACCGTTGGCTTGGTATTAAAAACATGTTATAGAATTTATAAAACAGTATCAAAGCAAAACATGTTCAAGGATTATGTAAGTACAGAATTATACAATAATTTGCTGGATAAGCAAATGTAATAAACAAGTGCTGCATACAGAGAGATTGCTACAGAATCATTTAACTGCCGTTTACCATATCAATGACGCATGCCTAATGATATGTCATGTATATATCATGTATCATTAAGCACTTTTAAGCGGGTTCTTAAGCTTTACTAGTGGGCATACTTCGATTGCCCGCATATCACGTAGACTACATCACTGGCTGAACTAATAATTTCACTCCTTTGACCAATGAAGGAGCCAGCTGTGTGTTGAAAACCAAATTAACGGAACAGTCTTAGCAGTGAGAGTTTAAAAAAAGATGCAGCT